GAAAACAATCAAAGAAGTCTGTCAGATGTGGCTCGCCGTCATGGCAGCCAGCTGTACTGATATACTGTAAGCTAACATCGTGTGATAATGAACAACCAATCAGAATCTGCCTCGTTCTGGTACATGAAGTAGGTCAGCTTGAAGATGACGTTCAGACGATATCATGAGATATGAACAATGGTCAGTGTCAAGGTGATATAGACATAAGTATTCCACAACAAAGATGCTTTTTGTTTGATTGAATAATAAAAACACAAATTTACCTCCATAAGAATGAAGACATATCTGTGTGTTTGTGCAGGACTCGTACCCCAGGTACTTAAAGTCTGACCTGTACAAAAGCCTGCTGAGCAAAGCTGTGCTTCCTCAGGAGAGCAAGAAAAGGTAACGCTTCACTGTCCCTGACAAATCAAAGCAGCTGTTTGTTCCTGAAGCTTACCTCCACCTCCCTTCCTCTCAGCGTGTTTCCCTTCATGAGGCGTCAGCGCCACTCCAGCCCCTCCCCGGCTCAGGCTGTTGCCCCGGCCACCGACGACGATGACGGGCGCGCAGGTAGCAACGCTGCGGTGTGACACAGCGCCCCGCCTTCCGCCTCCCAACAGTCACTTTCTCTGTTCGGCTCCGCCCACTCTGGATGTGACAGCTTCACCTGGACACGGACAGGTGGTCGGGTCTCAGCAGCGCGAGGAGGGGGCGGAGCTTTTAGTTGTAGTTTCTTTCTCTCAAGTCTTCAGCTGACAGACAGTAGAGCAGAGCTGTATTTTGTAACCTGTTCAGGCTGCAGCTGCACAGTCTGACTGTTGGTGCTGGAAGTTTACTTTAAGCATGTTTTCATCTGAATAAAACGTCCCAAACAGCAGCTGGTGTCGTGTTTACCATCAGAGCTGCAAACATCTGCAGCCATCTGGGAGCAGGCTTCATATCATCTCTTCTGTACTCATCTGTGTAACATAAACAGGTAACGCTTTCTTTTACAGTACCCTTATTACCATGTAATTACAAGGTGATTAAAAAAGTAATTAAATGGTAATTACTACCTTGTTACCATGTAATTACAAGGTAATTAGGGTACAAAAGAAAAACTACTGTTAGTAAAACTACCTTTATTGGGTAACTACAATCAAATTACTATTCAATAGTAACTCAACACTACATTATAACCAAAAGAATGGTTAATTGCAATAAAATATAACTTTAAAACTGTCCAAATTACCTATTACTACCAGGTAAGTGCTACGTTACTGCAGACCATTAATTACATAGTAAAATTCTACCCTAATTACCACGTAATTACATGGTAATAAGGTAGTAATTACGTTTAATTGCCATTTTTTATTACCTTGTAATTACATGGTAATAAGGGTACCATAAAAGACAGCTTCACCCACTTTACACTATGTACAGTGGAAATCCATCAAACCTAATGAGTGTTTGACTTCCATCAACTCAGAGAATATATTCATTTAACTTTAGATATAATTTTTTTTATTTTTCAAGGTTTCTGAATAGATAAAATATCAATTATTATCTAAACAAAAAAGCTGAGAGACAAAACACTTTTCATCAAAGAAAGGGTTTTAATTTAATTTTTTTAACTTGGACTGTTGAGAGAAGACAGTTATATTTTGGAAATGACCCATTTCAAGATGGCGTCTATAGATAATTGACCATAACATAAAAATTAGAGGTTAAGGTCAAACACATACCAATGGATCATCAGAGTTTGACTTTAAACGTCGACAGATTGCGAGTGATAAAATCCGTCAAGAAGTCCTAATTTCATTTAAAATCAATTACTCTCATCCTGAACGTCTGTTGTTGTTTTTTTTTTTTTTTACCTAAACGTCTTCAGAAGAATGATGTGTTTGTGTTTATTAGGTCACTCAGGCACACAAACATGTTTTAACAGACACTAAAACTCATTTTAGTGTTCCTCATTTACCTGTCAGTTTCATGTTTCAGACTTTGTCAGATTCAGATAATTAGATTTATACATACTGGGACATTTTTGATACACATTTTCACAGTATTTTGTACACAAACGATGGACTGCAGGAAAAAATATCTGATTGGTGCAATTCTAGTGGAATATGAATTATTTTATTTTCTGCTCACAAAATCTATCAAGGCTGTATTAAAACTTTTGTAAATTACTTTATACACAATTGTAAAAAGCACTCAGGCAATAAATTCTAGAAAATCAGATTTTTTATCTTAAAGCAGACATTTCATGCCTTTAAACCCACCCCTCCTCAACACACACACACACACACACACACACACACACACACAC